GCAAATTACAGCCAAACGGATAAAGCCACAGTAATATATGAATAGTTCAAAGTTGAACAAATGCTCGAAAAAGTAGTGTTTTCACATTTCATTGAAAACTATAATACATTGAATACATCGAAAAGATGCATATGAAACGTTACAGTTTTGTCATTAATTTGCGTATTCTATGGTTTCATTAGCATCGATTAATTTAAAAATCGTGAAGGTTATGCAGTAAATTAAAAAAATAGTTAAGTAACTCGTTATATTCACATATATTTTGCTATTTTAATTTTCAATTTTAAAGAATGATTCTTTACCTTTCGTTTGCAACTTAAATTATTAATATTGGTCAATTAATAAGAAAGTTATTAAACTTTAATGTGTCTGCGGTTTTCGCGAATCGAAACGCAAGTCACCTCAATCTCGAAAATGACATAAAATTTCGATTTGTATCAGGAGACTATGAGTAGCGAGGAGGTATCTGAGCTCCTAGTAATGGTAGTTCTAACGTAACTGTAGTTCTGACGCAACGGTAGTTCTAATGCTACAGCCACTTACGTTTGGGTGAGTGAGCGAACTTTCATCACGAACAACTGTCATTGTGACAGCTAGAGCTAGTGTTTCAAGTTAACTTCAAAGGACTTATGAATTTGCTCTTTAATTTAAAATGTTTCTACAAATACAAACTTAATGAAGAATATGCTCTGTCCTACTATTTCTTTCTATGGAAAACTTTTCTTTGAACACTACATTTCACTTCAGACAAGTACCAGTACAACATGTTTACAACCATCAATTACGAAAGTTATTTATCTTCAAAAAAGATATATCTGAGGCTAAGGAAAATTCTACCAATCTGAGGCATTATAAAGACAATACCTCAGCATATCCATTAATTGCTAATAGCCAAAAGGTAAATAGTCAACAATCTATTTGTAAATATGTTCTTATTTAATTGTCCTGTAACTTTTCTTCTTTAGGGAGATGGATAATAACTATGCATGAATTGTAAACTTCCCCCTAATCCTATGAGACTGGATAACATGAGTGCCAGGTGCAGTGAATATTAGAAAATCAAAAATGTAATCTTTCATAAAAACCAAAGAGCAAGACTAAAAGTATTTCTTTTTTCAGAACGACTCAGCAGAACCCATCCATCTTTTGTTGCCTTTTACATGTTCCTTAGACATAGTATAACAATTCTGAGTGACAGAGGCAGTGAAAATACTAGAAAATCCCAAAAACAGACTAAAAGTATTTCTTCTTTCAGGAGGACTCAATCTATTGTTTTGGAGGCAACATGATCTTTAGAGATAATATAAGATTTGCTATGTGCAGTAAAAATACTGGAAAATCAAAAATTTAATTTTTCATCAGAAAGAGACTAACCATAGACCCATGAATCGATTATTGCTTGCTACATATTCCTTAGACATGTAAAACACATCTGAGTACCAAATGCCGAGAAAATACTGGAAAATCAAAAATGTAATTATTCATCAATACCACAGAAGGAGAGTAAAAGTATTTATTTTTTCAGGACTACTCAGCAACCACCATCAATCTATTGTTGCCTCCTACATGATCATTAGAGATAGAATAACATTTCCGACTGCCATGTTTATTGCACAAATACTGAAAAATCATAAATGTATGTTTTCAACAAAAGACCAAAAGTATATCTTTCTTCAAGAGGACTCAGCAACAGCCATAAATCCTAATAATGATCCTTGGACATGGTATAGGATTTTTGAGTGGCAAGTGCAGTGAAAACTGGCACTCCGAAAAGTTATCCAGTCATTAAGGATCTTGTAAGAGGCAAAAAAAGAAAATCTCTGCAGTCACTTCATTTTTTGCAATTAAAAAGTGCTAAAGGAATTTATCCACACATCTCTGAGTACTCCTCCTAAAACAATAACAACTTTAACATACTTTCAATCTCTGTTCTATTTTTTCTGAAGAGAAACAATCTTTGATGATTGTAAGTGTATAAGTTTGCCATACAAATGCATAGAAGAAGGAAACATAATAATTATTTGTTCTTAATCAAGTTTGCAACAGGAACATTGCAGAATAATGACCAAAGTATTCGAAATTTACTAATGCAGTAATTATATCTACGCAACTTAATTCAAATAAAAGTTCCTGAAAATTACGACAGATGACACTGCTCGTCTAAATTGCACAAAAAAATAAATATACATTTTACGCCTAGAGTACCGGCAACCAAACATACATTTAACTTTGGTGGAAAAATTAGGAAAATAACGTTATATAAAATGGTCTCTATTATTTGAACATGAGCTATCATTCGCCTTAAGTCTAAATGTACAACAGGAGGTGAAAATTCATAGGAAAAAAAAAACCTCCGACTCTTACTTGTTCGCAAAAACTATATGTATGATTAGTTGCCTTCATTTTAGGCGTAAAATGTATATTTAATTTTTGTGGTAGCTAGCACCATCTTTTAGAAATATATCAAAGCTTGTAGTTCGAGCATTTTGGCGCTGTACAAAACCCACTTCCTTACAAGTGCACTAATTTATATAAACAATCTTATAAAAAGAATGATTAAACGAATATAATATTACTACTTCAATCTACCAAGTTAATTGCTAATTATTTTTCGAGTTATATGCATTATAATTATGATAGTCAGAGCCATCTTTCGGTATTTTCATGAACTATAAATTTGAATAAAGGTGCGTATGCAACTTGTTTTTCTATTTTTAATAATTTTCTTATTAATTATAAAATGTTTTATATTAAGGATTAAGCGAAATGTACGAAAAACAATACATCAAACATCATCATTTTTAGAGTTTTGTAGTTTAACTAAAAATCATTAGAAAACAGTAGTTTTTCAAAAATCTCTTATTTCTTATAATTAAAATATTTATTGTTTTCGGACAGAAAACCCATGGTCAATAGCCCTTTTGGAGCAATTAAATTTAGTTTTATTTTTCTTATTATGTTAAGTTTATTTTATGTTTGTTGCAATAAATATTTATTTCATTAATAAATTAAAAAATAAAGAAAACTTAATAGAATAACAAAAATAAAAGAAAATTCAACTGCTACAAAGGGCTATTGACCATAGATCTTTCTGCCCGAATGAATTATTATTATTATAAAATAAAACAACTCAAATTAAAATTGCATTTATCTGAATGAAATAAAATACTTTTAAAAATGTGTACATTTCAATCATGTTTAAAGAATTTATATGGCATGATGATCTCCGGCTCACAGGGAACTTCATCACCTTCGAAAGGATCTCTTGGGATGCATATTGGAATATCCCTCATAATTGCTGCAGTAATAGATTCATGCACCCATCGTTCCGGTTGATCAGCATTTACCACTGATGCAGTACCTCCAGCATACTTCCTCATAGCCCCATAATTCGTGCAGTAATATTGCAACTGAAACCCTTTCCCTGTTATCAACATCAATGCAAATGTTTAGATATAAAGAAACCTCAGCTTGTATTAAGCTTGACTTATCCTTGGGATGAACGCCCAGACGTTTGGCAGTGATATCCATAATCAAATCCTCTTCCAGCTTGGTAACACTTCCGGTATCGACGTTATATCTTCGACTAGTTAATCGTTCGAAACAGATATTCAAGTCGCACTCCAAGAAGATTACCCTGAAGATATCCCCAATATTAAGAGGTGTAAATTATATATTTATTCACCTGTTCGGAGGAGTTTCAACGCAGTCGAAGAACTTAAAGTCTTTGACGTTGAAAGGAAATCCAGTCAAAATCCAACCCTGCTTGAGGCATTCGCAATCCAGCAATCTTCTATTCAAAACGAGTACCAGAGTCTGCGATTCAAAACAGGCTTTATCTCCGAAACTTCTCAATTTCTCTCCCAACTCATCTTGGCCATGCCAAGCCTGACACAGTAAATACTCGAAATCAACTAAAAAAAACAAATCCATCAAAGGCATTATAAGTTTTCAAGAATTTGTTTTTGAACTGTGGATTATATCCAATTTTGATTGAAGGAGTCGCGCTTGCGTTTTGCGGCCACATCCTCTGGGTCCTAAAAGAACAATCCTAGGTTGCTTGGGTCCATCTTCGATCCTCTCGATGCTGATCAGCTCCACGCATTTACTGACTACATCGTGAATCAAGAAGTCCTCCAGATGTATCTCCTACAAATCTGAAGTAAAAAAACAAACTTTTTATTGTTATTGAAACCGTTTACGTTCAGCTTTTTCTTGAAGACTTCACGAATGCCATAAAAGTTCCTTCGGTATTCAGGCCAATGTTCGGTCACGTTGCAGTAAAGCAAATCGGTTAACTTCGGGCTAAACGGTGAAATCAAGTAAATCACATGGCTTGGTAAGATACCCAAGTCGAGGATCCTCTGTGCTTCATTTTTACTTCTAATGCAATCTAATCAAAAGAATTTAATAATTATTTTGATTGTTACTGACTGAATTAGATTGATACTAACCCACCAACAACCATCCATTCTTGGCAATGTCCGGGCTTTTGGTATGTAAGAACATTTGCAATCCGTACGCCAACTCCTTAGGTTTAATCCTATCCCTGAACTTCTTCTTAAGCATTTCCATGATCGTTGATTCAGTGATCAAGATCTGCTGCGTCTGATGGACGATCTGCTTCGCCACTTCGAGAACATTGACTTTCGGCGAAGCCAACACAATCACCTTGGGAATTTTCACGCTCTTCACGGCGTTGCTCAGCAAGAATTTCATGAAGAAGACGTGATCTTCGGGCTGCTGTATCACCAGCTCCCTCGCGATCTCCTTAGAACGCACAGGTTTCAAAAAGAATACAGAGTAAACGTACAAAACGAAAAATCATTTATTTCTATTTTCCTGCTTTTCATTTAGCACTTTCTTCGTCATTTTTTTTTGTCCCAATTAAAAAAAAAATATTACTAATATTAATAAAAAACGTTAATTATTCTTACAGAGAACAGTTTATAAATGTTGTGCTTTTCCAGGTAAGGCATATGCCACGTGGGCATCGTGATTTTCCTCTTTGTACCATCGGTCATATTGCTTATTCTTTCCAAATATAAAACACGATGAAACAATCAATCAAAAAAAAAATGTATAATGCGTACAGAAAAGAAACAAGTATCAATGAAATGAATGACAGTGACATGCGTTTCTCTGTGATCGAGAGAATTAAAAAAAATATACGAAAATGTACACAAGTTGTAGAAAAATACGATTTCGTCGATTGCATTAATCGACGATGTTATTATTATTATCATTGTTACTTTACATATGAATTAAGTAATTAGTAATCGGGTGAATTAATTATAATATATAAACGTAAAGTAGTTCCTATTCACAATGGGTGGGATATTTCGGTTGAGAAAACACAATATACATATGTATAATTATATATAAATGTATCAATACAATATATTTTTCTTCTGTGTTTCTTTTTGTTTTGTTTACTTCTTAGCTTAATTAACTATCACTTTTCCACAATTTTATTGTTTTGTCGTTCTCTAACGCCGCTGATGCAATTATATTTTCGGTCGGATGGCAAGTCGTACACAATACGACATCTAGAACAAACATTAGTATTTAATAATAAGCATCATAAATTAATAGCTAGTTAAATAACAGTTATAGTCTGAGACTGACCTGTGTGTCCTTGCAATTTCTGGACAATTTCTTTCGTCTGCAAATTCCAAATGTACACCATGTTATCTTCTGATCCGCTGACGATCCACTTGCCTCCTGTTACAGAAAAGTTAGCGAAAATGCAGTACTTTTCATTCTTGTGTCCGGAATAAGTCTTCAAGCATTTCCCTTTCGAATAATCCCAAAGCTTGAGGGTATTATCCAAAGTAGCAGCCAAAATGTACTTGCCATTTGGTGAGAATTTAACGAAGGAGACAGGGGGATTATCATCGTCGATCAATGTCTTCAGACATTGACCAGAAGCGGTGTCCCATATACGACTGAAATAGTCAATAATAATTAAAATTTGAACGTTTCAATCAATCGTATTGACTCACCATAAACCATCGTAACTACTGCTGACAATCAATGAGCCATCTCTGTTGAAGTGCACTGCACTCACTGGATCTGAATGTGCTGGCAATGTTTTCAGGCATTTCCCAGTTCGGACGTCCCAGATCCTCACAGACTCATCAAACGAACCTGACACTATCAAGTTGGATTGTGGATTAAAATTGCAACAGAATACATAGTTGCTGTGTCCCTTGAGAGTTTTCAAGCATTTCGCAGAGCTGAGCTCCCAGATTTTCAATGTCTTATCATCGCTGGCTGATACAAGCAACCTGCTATCACTGGACCAAGCCACATCACTGATACCTAACTTGTGACCTGAGATTGTCTTTTCAAACTTGCCATCATAAGCACCCCATATTTTGATCAATTTATCAGCAGCTAAAATATTTAAGATCACATTAAAGTTTATATAACATCAACAAGTTTAATAACATACATGAACTGGCCAACCATTCTCCATTTGGACTGAATTTAACTGAAGACACTGCCTTGGTGTGTCCAGCTAAAGTGAATTTAAGTGTGTAATTTGGTTTCTGCAAATCAAGATTGATGTTATTAATTATATATGTACCGTACTCATGAACTCACTATACTGCTTGATTTGTTTGATCCTCCAGTCGGTGTTAGACTGTTATTGGTGGCTGGGGGATTGCTGGAGATTTGAGATTGACTGTGCATCGGTTGGGTACCACTCATAGGTAACATCTTTCAACAACTGCATTCAAACTGCAACATAAACAATAACAACCATGTGTCCATTAATTTTATTTCACTCTATGTATTTTGCACACTTGCACATAGAGTTTAACCTAAAATAATTGGTTTATGTACATACCTCAGAATTCGAGAAGAAGACTGCAGAAAGCAGCTTAGTTGCTTTCGTTATTCTAAATTATTCTCACAGAGCACAAAACCAACTTGTTCTCATCCATTCGTAACTCAAAATAATAAAAATAACACAAGGAACGCTACCAATCTTTGATAATTTTTTGGAAACGGTTCATCACTCGACTCGACCATAGACAACAGTGACATCTTTTGCTAAACTAATGCATTACATTAAAGCATACCTGTTTTCTAATTTTTTAATAAATTATCTTTAATTAATTCATGTAATGTTAAATAATATCTAATAAATCATATAACGACAATAGGAAATAATAACTATTATTTAATATAACTGTATATTAAGTTGCATACACTTAAGGGGCAACATATTTTCTAAAGTTATTGCGTATTGGCTCCATCTTTGAACTTCTTTTAAACTACCATAGTTCAGCCTTTTTGGCGCTGTACAAAAATGACGTCATTTTATCATCCCCAAAAGGCAACCAACTATACACCAAAATTAATTATCAATTTAAAAGTAATTTAAATCTACAAACATTTCAATCACAGTATTACTTAATAAAATATAATATTTAAAGTAATTTCTGCAATACATTTTGATACTTTAAATTTTCCAATGAATATGTACAAATCTTATGGGATTTGACTTATTTTCTTCCTTTACTTATCCTAAATTATTATTCATTGTCTTCTTTTTATGTAGAATCCAAATTAATTATGAATCAGGCAATTTTATTAATTTAACAACTTAATTATTTATTTA